ACTGATTAAGAAAGTATGTTAAATGATTTGTTGGTATAAAATAATATCCTTAATTTTTTTTATGGGATTACAAATTGAAATTAAATACAATTTTGGGCGTTGTGGGGGTGTTAATCCTTCCCCACACGTAATCAACTCCCGAGCTCATTTTCTGGTAAACATACCCTTTTTGTATTATTTTAATAATATTTTTATAAATTTTATTAAAATAACATATCATTTTTGGTGACCAATCACACCACTATAAATGATTGGTGGAGACTCCTCAAAATTGTGTTTTATCAAAGCAAGAAGAAAAACACTTACTTTTTTGAGACGAGATTTAGAAAGCAACGACACTTGTTTTCGTCGGGCGAAATACCGTCTCGACATATACAATCGTAGAATTTCTCATAATGAAATTCTTAGTTGAAAAAATGTGGTAGAAGTATTTCTCTTAGAATCTGTAGTCTGAATCAGGTCGTCGAGCTAACAACATTAAATAAAAGAGCTTGATGGGAGACAAACCATTTCGTTTTATTTTCATTTTAATTTTGCTTTATTTTTAGCCAAATTTATTTCATTTTATTCCATTTATTTTATTTTATTTTATTAGATGCTTAATTTTATTTTATTTTTCTCTAAACATATTCGAATTCCGATCGAATATTTCTTACCTTCGCCCGGGCTCGTCTCGACATGATCGTGGTCGCAATCGCTACTAGATTGGGGAGTATTCCTTTTATCTCTCTTTGTTTTTAATTCGACATACGTTTTGGGACAAAACAGATTAAGTGAGGGGGAAAGGATAAGCATGTGTCAAATTTTTCCTTAACTTGTTTAATTGTTTGAAATTGAGTTATTCTGATGTTGGTATGTTGGGATCGTTGGTTGCTAGTCTTGAAGTTCGCTTTATACTATTGCTTCCTTTTGGATTATGACCATGTTTTTGATCGAATTAATTTGCATGATTGGTGATTGATATAGCTAGTGAATTTTTTTTTGTTGAGTATTGATATTTCATGGTTTTGTCGATAGAGATGAACTTGACTCAATGCATATAAACTTTTCTTGTGAGATTTGAGCCTAACGAACATACATTTTCTTTCTTATTCATTGTTTGAGTTGTGTGTGCCGAACTAATTAAGATATTCTAGAACTTGTAATCACAATGCATATAGAGACTACATGTTGAACGTAATGTTTTAATGTGATAGGAGCACCTAGGATAAACCCATTTTTCCCAAAAAGCCTACCCGTTTATATATCCACTAGTGAACCAATTTTGAGCTTATTTCCCTTTCTTTGTTTTATAGCTCATAATTAAACCTGAAACCTTTCTTTTATTTTTCCTCTTTTTTCACACTCTTACCGAGACTTGAGATCTTGTATCACTCTTGTTCCACGAATAAAAAAATGATGAAAGCAAAAAAAGAAAAGAAAGAAAGACCATTTGTTCGAAAAAAACTAAAAAAGGAAGGAAAAATCGATCGCTTCAATTGTCTTTCATATATTCTTTTTCCTTGCTTTATTCTTCATCGCGCTTCATGTTAATTCGTGGATTGTTCTTAATTATTTTGATATATTGTTTCGGTATTTTAAACCTTTCTTTTCAGCCTTTTCCCTAACCTAACCTAAGCCCTGTTACACCTTGTTCAAAGACCCATTAATTATTGCATTATGTTCATTTTTCGTAGTGGAGACTTGATTGGATTCTAAGCCTATGGTAATATTTTGGTTAGTTTCGGTTTGAACAATTTCATTTACCCCAAACACTTTGAGTGAATATGTGTGAATCTTTGTGATGTATTGAGTCATGTTTCATTGAAGTTGGCAATTAATTGTGATATCTTGCTTACTTTAAATTTTCTTGGTTGTATCTTTCTTTGATTGTAACTTGAATTCGACAAATATCATGTACTTAGTTCGATTGGAAGTCTGAGGAATAAATTGAAATTGAAGATGACAACTTATGATTTTGATATGTTAATTGATTAATGCTCGAGTACAAGCATTGAATAAGTGAGGGAGAATTTGATAAGTGCTTAATTTAGTTTATAATTTTGCTTTTAAATTACTCATTAATCATTGATTTTTGTGGCTTAATTGTTCGTTTTCATTCATTTTCTGTGCAGGACGTTAGATTTTGGAAATTGCACTAAAAGGACGGAATTCTACAGTTTTTTTTTATTTTCGAAATCAAAGCTGGCTGGAATTCGGATTTGGATTAAACTCAAGTTTTAGGATAATATTTTAAACATTATATTTTATCTTTGTTTTAGGTATTTTAGTTTAAATAATTTTAAGTGTTTTAATTAGGATTTAAGATGTTTAGCTTGTTTTTACAAATTTGAAGGCTATAAATACCCTTTTAGGGTAAGCTTAGAAACATATCTCTCTCATCTAAGAATAAAATCTTCTTTTTTTCTCTCTAGTTTTCTCTCTATTTTTTTGCATACTTTTCAATTATGCTAAGTATGACTTTGGTCATGCTTAACTAATTTTCTTTCAAGTCGAAGACTAAAGCGAATGCTCAATTCCAATCGTGAGAATTGTAAGGTACTTAAATCGCTTCGGATTTCTCTCTCTGTTTTCTGATATTACTTTTCAAATCAAAACGATTTCAACATTGGTTCGGATATTGTTATGGTTAACGTTTGAAGAAGGATTTGCTTATTGAAGCATATTCAACTTCCCGAGAACATACTTAGCAAAATTGTTTGTTAAGAGGAAACTGAGATCGGAATCATTTATTGTTGATATGACACAATTCGAGTTGGCAACAAAGAATTGTTCTTGTAAGCTAACGTGAATCTTGAAATAAAAATATGTTTCGATGATCCGAGGAATTTGAGGCGAAGCTGAAGTCTGAAGCTGCTTTCACAATAAGATACACAGAGCTCATGTAAATTACATGTTTTTTATCGATACTGCACGTTTATTATTTTTAAACTAAATTTATAATTTTTTCTTTTTTTGACACTTATTTTTTTGTTATTTTATTTTAGTCCAAGTCGTGTCTATTTAGGCAAAAATCACGTCCTTTAAGGTATATATTTAAAGGCGCTTTCCACATAATACGTTTTTACATAGTAAAATGGTATTAATTCAGAAAATATTTTAAAATGTGTTATTTTTGTATTATTTTTTATCTTAATGATATCTGGGTAAAGAATTAGTACGAAAAGGTGTTGATGAAGATGTGAAAGAATTGTGGAGAGCGAAGGGATTAGACAGTTTCCAAATGGTGACTATAAGGTGGTGACTAATACTAAGTGTGAGAAACAGTTGGGGTGTTGAGGAGGTCGGGTAACATCAATCGAGTGTTGAAAAGGAAAATGTAGTGAATAACTCCAAGGCAGGTATCGAGTGACCAATTAAAATTTGTGTTAAAAAAACATAATAATAAAATTAGTTATGTCTATTAAAATGATCCCTTCGACTTATATTTATATATTTTTTGGAATACTTTCGCCGTTAACACTTCAATTTTTGGTTAAAATAGCATTTTCATGTGTGTAAACCATTAGTTGATTAGCAATCACCCTACATTGTTGACATGTCATTTCTCTATGTATTTAATTTGTGACATGATTAATTAACAGATTTCTTCCAACAATGGATTTTTCAATCAAATCTTGAAACATTGGGACTTAAAAAAAATAAGATTAAAGTGATTATTTTGATAAATATCGGGGTTTAATTTTTTTTCCAATTATGCCAAAAAAGGGATAAATTACACTTATAGTACCTAAACTATTAGTTTTGGTCAATTTTAGTACCTAAAATTTCAAAACCACACCTAAAATTTAGTTTTTGTTTCATTTTAGTACTTCATTCAAAATTTAACGTTAAATTTTTAAAAAAAATAAAAGTATATGTATTAAAATGAACCAAAATTGATAGTTTAGGTACTAAACACGTTAAGTTTTTAACGACGGGTACTCAAATAAAATAAAAAATAAACATTAGTTATATAAAAAATTAACAGTTTAAGTACTAAAATGAACCAAAATTAATAGTTTAGGTACGAAACACGTTAAGCTTTTAACGGCGTGTACTAAAATGAAATAAAGACTCAACGTTAGGTATACTTTTGAAAAAATTGAAAGCTCAAATAATAAAATAGACCAAAACTAATAGTTTAGGTATTAAATGTGTAGAAAAAATTAGCCAAAAAAACAAAATTATATAAATGTTTTAAAAGAATGGATAATGTGCGAAAAAAATCCGTAATTGTTTTAGTATTTGCAATCTGTCACCCAACTTTTAGTATTGTTAGATTGACCTAATCTTTTTGAAAATCATGAATTAACCTGTCATACTTTCAAGAATTCTATTTTTATACCCTATTTTCACATTGAGCTTAATTTGATCCCAAATTCTTAAGACTCACATATTAACACCTAAACTTTCCATTTAACACTTGAACTCATTAATTTATAATTTAACCCAAAATTCAGAATTGAATTAATAAAAATCTCGTTTGATTTAATTCAAAAATGTTAACCCAAGTTTTAAAATGTGAGAGTTACATCTAAACACATATTTCATTGATTTAAATATTACCAATATAATATTTAGTTTTACTATCATCGATCTCATCCAAAATAATCTATCGATGTACTATTAAAAAATAGGTAAATTATATGTTTAGAATGGTAACTATCATTTTTATTTCATTTTAGTCACCTAACTATTTTTATTTTCAAATCATATTCAACAATACATTTTGATTTTATTTTAGTTACACATTATTAAAATTAATAGTATTGATGAAGTATCACCATAAGGTAATAAGAAATCTTCATTATTTTTTTAAAATATCACATTAATAGTTATGTTAGTTTTAAAGGTAAGTGACCAAAATAAAACCAAAACATAATATTATATATCATTTTGAAAAATATAATATTTAATTGACTAAAACGGGATACGAAATGATAATTGAGATACTAAATGTGTAGTTTACTCTTAAAAATTATTTTTTTATTAATCTAAAGTAAGTATAAGACAATATATGTTTAAAGATAACTCTCAACATTTAGTTATTGAACGTTCACATTCCTTAAATCTATAGTGCTTGAACTCATATCCTCATAAATAACAACAATTTCTCATAGAGAGGCCAATTGGTTCATGCTAAAAAAATTGAAAAATTGAATAGACTAGAAGCACCACTCTCCGGGCATTCTGAAATCCAACGGTTAGGACAAGATTTCTCTAACGCGAAGCACGAAAAAAAAAATCCCACTCCCGCTCTTGCTTGTCGCCCATAAAACTGAAAAAAAAAAATTATTAGCAGTAATTCATTAGTTCACAAAAAATTTCACAAAACTCGATTGAAAGCAAAAGGATATGTGCGGAAGAGCTCGTTGTACGATTCGCGCCGACGACATCCCCAGAGATTGCCATCGCAACAACGACCCGGTCCGCCAATCGCCATGTTAACATGGACCGGTAAAGTTAACCTCTCGTGCGTCTGTCTTTTTTTTTTGGCTGGTTTTGGAATTTGAGTTGAAAAATCATATAGTTACCGTCCTTCGTATAATGATGGTCCGGGAATGAATTTGCCCGTTGTTCGACGAGACGATGGATCTAGTACCCACGGAGCAGGTGTTGTTCTTCACTGCATGAAATGGGGACTCATTCCTAGTTTCACTAAGAAAACTGACAAGCCGGACTTTTTCAAGACGGTAATCCTTTTATTCCAAGAAGTTTGTTCAAGTTCAAATTTGTATAGTCTTCAGTTTTAATCCATTGGCAGTTTATTTTCCCTATTTAGGGCATTCATTTTGAAGAAATAAATGGGTCTGAATGTATACTATATTTTAGTATTTTACTCATTTCAATCAAGTATAAAAACATATAGAATGAAAAACCAAACAACGCCCTATAAACATGTTTAGCAAAATCTTCGGTAGCTTATGTAAATTATAGGAAGACTACTGCAGCTTCAAGTTAATTTTGACTTCACAATTGTATCCTAGCTTCAAAATCTCTACCAGCTTTAATGAAACAGGTATACACACACATACCTTTTGACGTCATAAAGTGGAAAAACCTTTTCTAGTGTTAGCAATTTTGCAAATCCACAGTTCAATGCTTGATCTGAGTCTGTATCCGAAAAGGCTTCTTTTCGACGCCTCCTTACTAAAAGCCGATGCGTGGTGTTAGCCATATTCGAACGAGAGAGTATGAAACAAAGTGAAAGAAAAGAGAACTGCAGTTCAAAAAACGCACCTTGAGGTGAGATTCGATCGCCATTTTCTTCACCGGAGCAACATCATCCCGCCACCAAAGATATATATTTTACCTCTAGGGATCTGACCTTCCATTCTTCGGGTATGAGTGATTGTGGGATTGGTTTTTTAGAGCTCTCTCCCCCATTTGTTTTGTGTGTTGTGGTTGAGATGATGATAAAGGGGTTAGGTTTTTTTTCAGGGTTATAATAGGGTATTTAAAGGCCCTAAAACAGCGTCGTTGCACTCTAGATTTCACCCGTGTTTTTGAGTCTTCGTGGTTAATCCTCTTTCTGGTCCCTCCTTGTTTTTAATGTCTTATTTGAATCCCTAAATCAGTTTTAATCCCTTAATTGATTCAAAATTTGCCCCCGATTTATTTTTCCTTTCAATTTGGTACCCTCGCATTTTCATTTATTTATTTCTTTTTATATTATTTTTATATTATTTTCTTTAGCATTAATATTATATATATATATATATATATTCTTCCCTTTATTTATTTTATTAGTATTAATATTAGTTTTTTTATAAGTTAATATTAGTATTTATATAGTATACGTATATATATTTAATTATTTAATTATTTATCTTTTTTATTTTTGGTTTTTTATTTATTACTATTATATTATATTATTTTTATTTTTATTTTTTTACTATATTATTTTCATTATTCTTTTATCTTTATTATTATTATTATCATATGTATTTTATTATATTAACATATATTTTTCTTTCTAAACGTTTTTCAACCTCTTTTTTTCCACTCTTTCAACCTTTTCCAACTTTTCAACGTTTTCCTCTTTTACACCTATTTACTTTTTTCAACCTTTTGACTTTCTTTTTTCTTTTTTGAATTTAAAATTATTTTCCCCTTTCTAAACGTTTTTTATTTTTTTATTTCATTTTTTATTTTTGGTTTATTTAATATTTTTTATTATTTTTTTAAAATTGTAATTTTTTAAATTATTATTTTCCTTTGATTTATTTTTATTCCTTTATTTATTTTCATTTTATTTTAATTTTTTATGATTTTATTCTTTTTAATTTTATTCTTTTTAATTTTTCTTTTGATTTATTTAATATTTATTTATTTTATTTATTTATGTATTTCCTTTAAAATTTTTATCTTTGTTGATAAATTCCAACTGATCAAAGGTAAACAATTCGAATCAAATGTTTTAAATTTTCGCAATTAAAGACAACCGTTAAATTAATTGGTACCGAAAGGGCGATTCAAGGGTGCTAATCCTTCCTTGACCGTAATCGACTCCCGAACCCGACAAATCACTAGTAAGACGTAGATCAGGTAAAAAATAGGTATCTGATCAACCTATTTGTCTTAAAATAAATTATCAGTGGCGACTCTAAATCATTCTATTTAAGTCGAAGCCAAATTCTGGTCCAAACCGAAAGACGGTCGCGACAGCTTGACGACTCTGCTGGGGACAAGTAAGTGAGACATGCCATAGTTAATTTTCAGTTATCTTTTTATACGAAAATAGTGAATTTAAATTTTAATTAATTTATTCGATTCAAATTATTTACCTTTGATTATTTTTCAAGTAAATAGGTGTGCTAATCGTTTTCTAATGATTTCAACTTTCCAAACTTGTTTTTCACTTAAGGCTCTAAACCCGAGCTCTAAACCCTATTTAAGTGGGGGTGAAAGCGAAACATTCGTGTGAATTTATTCACCGTACAGGCCTAGCAAGTAGCCTTTGGGATTCATATATATTATGTATTCGTGTGAATTTATTCACCGTGCGGGCATAAGGGAATGTTTCCTCTCGAGTTTAACTTAGTCCACACAAGCTTGTAATGGGCTTAGGACTAAGGGTCTGGTAAGCCCAAGGGGGCGCCGGCAAGGAGAACTCGGGTACCGTTTTTTAGAACCTAAATCGGGAGACTATAGAGAATTAGAGCCCACCTCGAAATCTCATTTCAAACTCTAGGTTGCCTGAATTATTTCATGCTTTACTTTCTGTTCAAAGCATGTGAAATAGACAAATATGCGGTTAGGATTTGTTTGAAATTAGCATGCGGGATAGAGATCATGTCCGGGTAGGAATAATAAAACATGCGGGGTAGGATTTTTCATTTTTTATTGTTTTGATTTACCTCACTAACTCTATTTATTTTTTGTTCTCTTTCATTTTGTTCTCATCATTCGCATAATTTAAAAGAGGTGTTGATCCACCAAAAACGTGTATGTATTAATGGACAAAGGGGTTGTAATACAAGAGATAAAAATGTAGAGGACAATCTACAATGCGACTATGTGTCACATTCAATCCAGAAGACGTAGTGCCTACAATTGAAGAGTATATCACCCTGCTGCATTATAAAGGACTCAGAATGAACCGGGTCTACATCAAGCATAATGAAAGTCTATCTTTGAAGAACTGACTGACAAAGGTTGCAGGGCAAGATGAAGGTTACTGATCTTGGGAGTCCCTTCAAAGACAACAATGGCAAAACAATAGCTGAAATTAGAGACTATTGCTGGCGAATTCAAGAAACAGACAAATGAACTTCACTAGTTCCTATCAATTGAGGGCTCCAATGACATATTCGTTGGGAACATGTTCAACAAAAGATAAATGCCAAAGATGCAGTCATTAGAGACTTATTGGGCCAGTACAAAAAGTAACTCAACATTTGCACGGTTCATCTAGAGAAGCCAGAGTGGTTCGACAGGTTATTCAACCGGTGACAGACGAAGGCAGAAGACTAGTAAACATGTGAGAAGCTGTCATGATATTTCTGTCTCTTAGAAGATAAAACACTTTTGTCCCCAATAAGGATTATTTATAATAACAGACACATTTTTGGATCAATACCTCGAACATTGCATGCATCATGCATTCATGCATATTTTGCATTATTTTTCTTACATTCACATATCTCATAAAAAATGAGAACATTTCGATTCTATTCCCATGACCTACAAAGAGCTTTACCAATAACTTATTGACACCCATATAGTGTCACCATACCTGGTGGAACCCATGAAACCCCATACCCCAGTGGTATGATGAGAATACTCATTATGAATATCACGGCGATGTCCCAGTGCATACTATTGAGAACTATTATGCATTCAAGAGAGTCATACAGAAGATGCGTAACCAGAATTGGATCGACTTCAACAACTTGGGGGCATCCAAGTGAGGGAGATTATTTCATCATTTGAGGCATTCTGTTTGAATTTGTTTTTTCATTTTTTTCTCAAGTTTTTGTAAGGAATTTTAAAGAAATTTATGTTACTTTAAAGATGTTATGCAATGAATCACATTTGCAAACTTGCAATTCTTTGAATATTATTTGAATTAAGAAACTCTGTAAATGATTCAAAGTTACAGATCTTCGACGAAGTAACATGATTTAAAACAAGGACTTTGACCTTACCCAGAATATACACTCAAACATCGTACTCTGCTCTTGCAATTAACCAATGTAACATTTCCTTTTCATAAGGTGCGAATAACATGGGGCATCATTTGTATATGAAAATTACTATACTTTTCGTTTAAGACGTTCAATGATGATCATTATTTTTACATATGGAATAGTCGAGTAGGTAAATCTAGTTTAGGTCAGTTGCTTGGAAATTGAACTCTAAAAATGAGATTTCTTGACTTTCAACAACACCTAGACTATAACAGGTTCTTCTTGACAAGCTTAAGAAATTAAATCCGTAAAGCTGAGCTATTTCACTAAGGCAATTGGTTATAGAGGAAACTTGAAAGCCCTGGCCTTATGAGTAGATTACGTTCAAACCATGACATGGCTCGAACATTTGGTAATTTGGTGTTTGCTCCACTGCTATTGTCCGGTCGAAGACTTTGTGATGAGATGAACCCTTCAGTTAACTTGATAAAATTGATTATAATGTTAAGTTGTCCCTCTAAAGCAATTGGTTAAACGCCCCGGATTTATGGATTCAGCTAGCCAGATAACGTCAAATTAAATGAAATTAATCTAAGCAAGAAATTTTCGGTTATGATGGACTAAGGGGGTTAAGGAACACCTGTTATAGTAAACTTCACATGAGCACTCAGGAATTTCATTTTTAGACCAATATTTCTGCACTACCTTTGTTAGAGGAGCTTACGAGGCTTGAACAAATGGAAGATTTCAGAGGACCGAAATAAAAGGTCTAGTAATTGATCATGCTAGTTTCGTCATTCTATCTGCACCCAATTAAAATGCCAAACCAAAAAAAGCACGTTGCAATAACCCAAAAAGTGACATTTTTATGACTGAAACCTTAGGTCAACCTGAAGTCAACTCATCCATTTGAACATTTGTAAAAGAGCTATAACTCTGAAAGCATTAAAAAGAGCTATTGATTCATTTGATATACTTTGAACTCATGTTTACAATTTGATTCAATTGCGAACAATATTTTACAGAATTTTTATCATTTTCCCTCCTAAAATAAGAAAAATGAGAAAAACATTTTCAAACAGGACAATCTAAAATATGAAAGGTCTGTAAAGCCAAAGCTCGATAAGCAAATAGGGCACGATCGATTCCAATGACCAAATTGACAAACAAAACACGGGACTCCAATCCAAGAGATAAAACATAACTCATTCATGTTGCATGCATCTTAGACATACTTAAGAGCATCACATTTATCATTTTTAGCACACATAATTTTTTACAGCTTTTAGAGTCAAATTTCAACTTCAATATGAAAGATACTCGATTCAAAAGCGCATTCATAAATTGATGGTGGTTGCTCAACTTCACAGCGAAGGGGCGACTATCAATAAACAACTTTTCAGTTTCATTCAGAGTCAATTTCAACTTCACACGAAGGATATTGGACTCGAGACAACACAAGCTCAACTTCACAACGAATGGGCGACTGACTGTCAACAAATAACTTTTCAGTTTCATTCAGAGTCAATTTCAACTTCACAGCGAATGATATTGGACTCGAGAAAATACAAGCTCAACTTCATAACGAAGGGGCAAATGACTGTCAACAAATAACTTTTCAATTTCATTCATAGTCAATTTCAACTTCACAATGAAGGATATTGAACTCGAGACAACACAAGCTCAACTTCACAGCGAAAGGTCGACTGACTGTCAACAAATAACTTTTCAGTTTCATTCAGAGTCAATTTCAACTTTACAGCGAAGGATATTGGACTCGAGACAACACAAGCTCAACTTCACAGCGGAGGGGCGACTAACTGTCAACAAACAACTTTTTAGTTTCATTCGGAGTCAATTTCAACTTCACATCGAATGATATTAGACTCGGGATATCACAAGCTCAACTTCACAGCGAAGGGACGACTGACTGTCAACAAACATTTCAGTTTCATTCAGAGTCAATTTCAACTTCACATCGAAGGATATTGGACTCGAGACAATAAAAGCTCAACTTCACAGCGAAGGGGCGGCTGGCTGTCAACAAATAATTTTCCAGTTTCAGAGTCAATTTCAACTTCACGGCGAAGGATATTGGCCTCGAAACAACACATATGGTTGGATTTCAACTTCACAACAAAGGGGCCATCCACGGTTTCAACTTCACGATGAAAGGAATCGTGCCCACTAAAGACCTTTGAGTTTGACTACGCTCAGCTCCAAGGCATATAATTTGCAGCATAGCTTAAGTCGAGAAGGGTTATCTGCCAAATGCCCTCGAGTTCGATTACACTCAGCTTCGAGGGCCCATCATTTACATCATAACTCAAGGCTATAAGGGTTATCTGTAACCAAAATACCTTCGCGTTCGACTACGCTCAGCTCCAAGGCATATCATTTATAGCATAACTTAAGTCGAGAAGGGTTATCTTCCAACTAAAGACCTTCGAGTTCGACTACGCTCAGCTCCAATGCACATCATTTACAACATAACTTAAGTTGAGAAGGGCTATCTGCCAAAGACCCTCAAGTTTGATTACACTCAGCTTCGAGGGCACATCATTTACAACATAACTCAAGGCTAGAAGGGTTATCTGTAACCAAAATACCTTCGAGTTCGACTATGCTCAGTTCCAAGGCACATCATTTGCAGCATAGCTTAAGTCGATAAGGGCTATCTGCCAACCGAAGACCTTCGAGTTTGATTACACTCAGCTCAAAGGCAAACCAAATTTACAATATAGCTCAAGGTAAGAAGGGCTATATGTCAACAAAATTGTCGAGTTCGATTCTATTCAGCTCGATGACACATCAATCATACTACTATCCGGTTGTAGTCGAGGTTTTCAAGTCGAGAAAAAGACTTAGGTTAGCCGTGCCATAGTGACAAGAAACCGTTTCTCGGCAGTATAGCTTAAGTCGAGAAAAACTATCTGTCAATGAAGACTTTTCGAGTTCGATTTCATTTAGCTCGAGGGCCTGTCAACCACACGATGCAATCAAAGAACTATTTTTCAGTCGAATTTTTAACTAAGGTCTTTAAACCAAGAAGAATATCAAAGGGTAATAAGAAGCCACATTCCGATTCAAATTCTGAACTACGGCTTCAATTCCATATCATTTCAAGATGGACTCGACTTCATGACGGAGGAGCCATCCGCAACTCAATTCGACAGTAAGTTATTCTTTCAGAGTCATTTTTTCAACTCCACCGAACGAAAATTTGTAGTCGGATCCCATTATCGATCACCGTCTACCGCCTTAGACGATGGTCGTTCGGTCATAAATTTCATGGGTCGCTTCTCCTCGACACCTTGATTCCGAATCCAACATCTATTTTGTTGGAATGTGTTCAAAAGTCCACGAACTGGAGATTAAAAGTAAGGAAGAACATTTGAATCTCGATTCAACGATTTTGAGATATATTCCGGTGAAACAACCACCATATTTGGAATCAAGGGGTTGAGAAGAACCGACCAATGAATTTTGAGACCGAACGACCATCATCAACGATGGTAGACGGTGGCAGGAATGAAAAATGACGACAACCGATCACTTTATTTACAAAGTAGAGAAAAAATGGGGAGAAAGAAGATGATTCAGAATGACGTCGTTTTGGTGTATATTTGAGTTTTTTAAAATTACGTCGTTTTGATGCTTATGTCATATCATAACATCGTTAAAAAATTAACGACAGAGTGATCAAAATAATTCATTTTGTAACAGTGAGCAAAATAACAAAAATTGAAAATATAATGAGTAAAATAAGAGAGAATAAAATTCAACGAGGAAAGATGTAATTTACCATAATGTTAGTTACAACTTCAAATTAACATATACATCTGTCTATGTAGATGTCGATTAAAGCAATAGAATAGATTAAAATAAGATCTATTTTATGTCACATTTTAAAATCCTCTATTTCTTAGAATTTATTAAGGTGTCATAATTTAACTCCACTTTCTCCCTCTTTGTTCAACAAGCCAATAATTCGCTTTTTATTATTTGTACGACTAATAATTGAAAGCTGGGGTCTGTTGAATGGGATAATTCAATATTTTATTATTTGTTCAACAAATCCTGAAAGCTCGTAGCCATTCCTTTTAATTTCCTTTTATTATTTTTAATTGGTTAAACTACAATAAATAGTCATTAATATATTTGAGTAAGATTATTTTTTTTTCTATTGTCATTTTAAAAGTAATGATTTAGTTACTAACAATATTCATATTTGATAAATTGATCTCTCGTCATTAACGGTATTTAAAACCGACAGACTGTTTACCAAGATTGATAGACGATCAGGTAAGGAGCTTGAGAAAGAATAAGAGCTGTTGAAGAACATGGATGCAACAATATGGAAGATAATTCCGACCAAACAATCAATTAAAATGGTGAAATGTCAGAAGATTAACGTGTTACATTAGTAGTTTGTCGGTCTCATTAACGACTGCTAATGATGAATAATTAATTTATTATAAATATATTATATTAATTATTAAATTATTACTTTTAAAAAATCAGTGAATTTTTTAATCATATTAATTATCTATTTAATTTACCCTTTTTATTTTGTTGAAAAAGTTGCACGCTGCTCCCAACGTTCTTGTCAGCATTATTACGAAATATGGACATCAGCAGCCTCAGTTAAAGATTATGAACCACACATTTTTTTTTTCTTAATCTATTTATTCAGTTTACTTCCATCAAGCTAAAATTGCCAAGGACTCTTTAATCTGAATTTCTTCATGGATTTCTCTTCTTATCTACCAGCAATCTTTGGGAGCTTTATAGGATTATTAATAGCTTACTACATATGGCGACAGAGGCATAAGCACGACGAGGGTAAATTGCTAGCCCCGGAAGTGTCGGGATCTTTGCTGATCATAGGCCACCTTCACCTGCTCGGTGCTCAACCGACCCTTGCTCGAACCCTTGCGTCTATGGCGGATAAGTACGGGCCTGTTTTCATGCTCCGATTCGGCCTATTCCCAACCCTCATCGTCGGCAATCACGAAGCTGTTAAAGAGTGTTTGACCACAAACGACCGTGCCTTAGCCACTCGTCCACCAACGTATGCTGGCAAATACATGGCGTACGATCATGCCGGCTTTGGGTTTGCTCCTTACGGACCATTTTGGCGTGAGATGCGTAAGTTCACCATGGTTGAACTTCTCTCCACACACAAGTTAGCAAAGTCAACCCATGTTAGGGACTGGGAGGTGAAGGCATTAATGAAGGATTTGTACACTTTTTTCAATAAACCAAACCAGACGATCTCCATGGATGAAAAGCTTGAGGTTTTCACCTTGAACATGGTCCTAGGATTAGTTGCAGGTAAGAGATATTTCTCGAATGCGGAGGGTGTTGATGATAAGGAAGCACATCGTGTCATGAAGATTTACAAGCAATTCTCGTACCTGATGGGGGTTAAGGCGATTTCGGAAGTGGTTCCGTTTCTGAAATGGACGGATAAGTGGAGCTGGCAAGTGAAAGCCATGAAGCGTGCTTCCCAAGAGATGAACCATCTTGTTGAAAGTTGGGTGGATGAACATATAGCCAAAGGGATTGGAAATGGATCAAACCAACACCAAGATTTCATTGACGTCATGCTATCTGCGATTGACGATGAGATGGTTTTCGGCCATACACGCGACAAGGTTATCAAGGCAACAACAACGGTATGCTTTTGCACAGCACTCTTCATTTTTTTTCTTCTTTAATTTTGGAGCCGGTTTCTTCATTTTGCATGTTTGGTCCACCGTTAAAATATATCCCAAAGGTTTGATTAAATATAGTAATTAAGATTCTTTTTATTTATAAAAATCTTAATTTTTTTATATGATCTCGTCTATGTTGATATCCTTTGATTATTTTTTTAATTTATGAATCTCTAATGATTATATTTATATAATTTATAAACATGAATTTCAAAAATTAGTATTCTGATTTGGGTTTATCCTTTTATACACTTTAGACTCTAATCTCAGCGGGGAGTGACACCACATCCGTTTCAATGACATGGATTTTAGCCAACTTGATGAACAACAAACATGCCTTGGAGCGAGCACAAGAAGAGCTAGACCTCAAAATAGGGAGAGAACGATGGGTGCAAGAATCTGATATGGAGAAATTAGTATATCTCAAGGCCATCGTTAAGGAAACATTTCGGCTGCATCCAGCAGCCCCTATATTAGTTCCTCACGAGGCAATGGAAGACTGTCGTGTGAGTGGCTACCACATCCCTAAGGGCACTCGTCTAATCGTTAACATATGGAAGTTGCACCGTGACCCTCGAGTTTGGTCGAACCCGGAGGAGTTCCAGCCCGAAAGATTTCTCACTACACATGAAAAAGTGGACATCTGGGGCCAATTTTTTGAGCTGATTCCATTTGGTTCCGGTCGACGGTCGTGCCCCGGGATTACTTTGGCATTGCAAGTCATACACTTGACGATTGCTAGCCTGCTTCAGGGATTCGACTTAAACACACCTTTGAATGCGCCGGTGGATATGAGTGAAGGAACATCCTTTAACTTGCCCAAGAGTACACCTCTTGAACTTGTCCTTACTCCTCGCCTTCCTTCTCATCTTTATCAAATCTAAATGTAGCACTTCTAAAGCAACGAGTAATGTAAAATTTGGATAAACATGGCCGCTTCAGTTTGTCTCCCCTGTTTTTTCTTTTTCATTATATATATATATTAGTTTGAACGATCTTCGAGCAATTAAGTTTGTTAAGTGTGTAAGCTCGTTATCAATAAATTAAGAAATTTTTTAAACATATATACACTTCTAATTATCTTGGACTAATAAAAATAAATATTTTCTATTATATTTTACACTCATTTTTAGTCTTGTGACATTAACAGTCATAAAACACATATAATAACTTTTGAGAATAAAAGACAATATAATAATGGATACTTGAAGTAGGATATTTGGGATTCGACATATATATACAACGATGATGAAATGGTCATCTGCTATGACATAAGACATACAAAAATGATGTATTGGTAATTGATGAAATTTGTTTAACAACTTGTGTATTTACATGTCTTTGTGCCATTGTTATGCATTCGAAGGTGTATATTTTCACCCTAGAATTCTCGAGTGCAACTGAGTTCCAATGAAACTCAGCGTACAGTACAACATGTTGTTAATATGGTAAACCATACAGTTGACCGCTTAACTATAACTTTTTTTTTTCTTTTCGACCACTATTTTTTAGTTTTTGTAAATCAAACCTGTAACACCCTTAACTCATATCCGACCCGAATACAAGTCTGAGGTGTCACATTGACTTTTCAAAACCTTGACTCTTATAGAAAATCCCGGGAATTTTTAAACTTTCATTAAAACGAAACACATTAATTTACACAAGACCATAAAATACAAAATCGATCAGAGTATTCGTAATGAACACTTATTACATGCCCACATTCTATACATAACCAAGTACATACTTTGTCAATTACTTCTGATCTGATCTCTTAGTAGTATTGTTGTCCGTGCTACATCTATTTCCACTTTTCCTGATTCTTTGTACCTACGTGTAAATCACTTACACGCTAAGTCATAGACTTAGTGAGGCAATAAATGAATATGCAACAATAAACTTATGAATGTTCATACTTACCATTGGATCATGACATTTCAAGATGCATGTATCTATCACACGATAACATATATAATCATATAATGCACATACGAAACTTACCTTCTTGTATCACTTTCACTTTAATTCGGTATTTCAATTGCATTGCCCATGTATATTATTGAGAATAGAGGTATGTGAGTGCATTGAGGTTGTGCACTAATGCTGTCACCACAGCTCGTATCAATTCCCTCATGGGGCACCGAACCTTAGTTCAGTATTCGTCCCGAAGGACCACGATCCAGAGGTCACAATATAAACTGTTCATATGTGCCTTTAAACATATGTAAAATGTTCATATGTGCCTTCAAACATATATAAATTAGAGAAAATCGCCTCAGTGACCAAAAATGTCTTATAATATACGATTTTAATCAACTTTTTTTGGATTTGCCAAAATGACCAACAAAATCGCAATGCGAAACAAAAATCGCAACGCGATTTAGAAAATCGCAATGTTGAAAAGAAAATCGCAACGGTCAAAAGAAAATCGCAACGCGATTGAGAAAATCGCAACGCGATTCCAGGAATCGCAATGCGATTGAGAAAACGGCAAAAGAAAATCTCAAAAGCAGTAGAGTTGTTCGTATTGCATTTGTTTCTTAAGAATTTTCTCTAAAAAGATAGTATCCGCGCGGACGTGTCGAAGACACGTATTACCACGACCACGACCACGACCACGACCACGACCACGACCCGAGACGAGACGGCGGCGGCGGCGGAGCGCGAGAGTCCCCCTTGTTCTCTTTCACTCAACAAGGAAATGAGAAATTCAAACCTTAAATACACTTTCCAATAGTGTTTCCAATACTATGTGGGATTGAACATTACCAACAATCTTCACATGTCAACCTATTTTGCTAAGAGCTTGAGTGTGACTATAAGAGAGATTAGTTCATTTGGTATGCCAAAATTGTTTTGTTTAGTGAAAAAGGGTGGGTTGCCGTATACAAATATAATTTCTACTCGGTTATGCATACATGTGGATTTATACACAACAATTCTACATTCAAGACTCTCCTCATAGCTGATCAATTTCTTGTAGATTTTTTGTTGCTTTGTGATATTGGAGATAAAGTTACAAGTTATGATTTTAAATTCTCTACTGGATGGAACTGGAAGCATAGTTCAAGTTTATTACAAGGTCCAAAGTTCCACCAAAGGTTGCAGGGACATCATTTCACGACAAATAAAAGCAATTTACTTGGCTTATGGTTTATTAGTTACACTTCTTCAAATTAACTAATCTCCAACAATTTTAGTGAATGGCACAGTCAAATTAAGCACACAAAATAGGTTGACATGTGAAGGTTGTTGGTAATGTTCAATCCCACATAGTATTGGAAACACTATTGGGAAGTGTATTTAAGGCTTGGATTTCTCATTTCCTTGTTGAGTGAAAGAGAACAAGGGGGACTCTCGCGCGCCGCTGCCGCCGCCGTCTCGTCTCGGGTCGTGGTCGTGGTCGTGGTCGTGGTAATACGTGTCTTCGACACGTCCGCGCGGATACTATCTTTTTAGAGAAAATTTTTAAGAAACAAATGCAATACGAACAACTCTACTGCTTTTGAGATTTTCTTTTGCCGTTTTGCGATTCTTGGAATCGCATTGCGATTTTCTCAATCGTGTTGCGATTCTTGGAATCGCGTTGCGATTTTCTCAATCGCGTTGCGATTATTGGAATCGCGTTGCGATTTTCTCAATCGCGTTGCGATTCTTCGAAGATCGCATTGCGATTCTTGGAATCGCATTGCGATTTTCTCAATCGCGTTGCGATTCTTGGAATCGCGTTGCGATTTTCTCAATCGCGTTGCGATTATTGGAATCGCGTTGCGATTTTCTCAATCGCGTTGCGATTCTTTGAATCGCATTGCGATTCTTTGAAGATCGCATTGCGATTCTTCGAAGATCGCATTGCGATTCTTGGAATCGCATTGCGATTCTTTGGCTCGCATTGCGATTCTTGGAAGATCGCGTTGCGATTTTCTTTTGACCGTTGCGATATTCTTTTCAACGTTGCGATTTTCTAAATCGCGTTGCGATTTTGATATCGCGTTGCGATTTTGTTGGTCATTTTGGCAAATCCAAAAAAAGTTGATTAAAATCGTATATTATAAGACATTTTTGGTCACTGAGGCGATTTTCTCTATAAATTATTCATATGTGCCTTTAAACATATGTAAAATGTTCATATGTGCCTTTAAACATATGTAAATTGTTCATATGTGCCTTTAAACATATGTAAACTGTTCATATGTGCCTTTAAACATATGTAAACCCTCGACTCTTGGCATGCCAACTACACCTATAGTTCTTATATCGTATACTATGAGCATTATTCTTATACCTTTCATATCACTTGTTCTTTCTCTTCTGTCACATACCACATGTATGTGTAATTATATATTTCATATCATATCACATGTATCACAAGTGCATACATTCACGTAGATCATGTAGCTCATATCACTTAATTCATATCATGTTCTCATATCACATATCATATCACCATAATTATCATGTATGCATGTTCACAATCATTGTATTATAAAAATCAACATAAGGATTAGACTTATCACAAGTCTTATTCCATTATACTATACATATAGTATGCACTTACCTTAGCTTTGCTTTGATTCGATTCTAATCCTTTGATCGTTCCGGAATAAGCTTACTTTTAGTATCTACATGATCACACATGGATCTATATCAATATTATAACTAATATACTCTAATGATTCACTCTTTAGACTAAGAGAAAAGTCAATTTCATCTTTTAATGAAGGTATGCATCGATGCACTACTGATGCATCGGTGCATAAAATGTATTCCATGTTGTATTATTGCTGAGATGCATCGATGCACTCCTTATGCATCGATGCACCAATTGTATTCGATGTTTTTATTTTAAAAGAGTGCATCGATGCACTACCAATGCATCGGTGCACATTCAAACAATTTCTGGGTTTTAACCTTGATGCATCGATGCACCATGAATGTGCATCAGTGCACTCTGTCGAGAATCCTCTTTTTGAACCCGAAAGTTCATTCATTTGGATTAAATCCTTCATGTTTAATCCCCTTTTTCATTCTTAACTCTAGTACACATCCTTAAACCAATTTATACTCATTTATTTCATCTTAAACCTTCAAATCCTATCCTTCATATGTAATTCAAGAATTACATTAATAAATCAACATGTTTGAATTCCATTTTTAACACTTCGTATATCTTAACTAGATTGATGACAAGTCAAATTTAACTTTCAATTCTAGTTATGAACTATATTCCAATATTTCATTTAAGAACTTCAAATCTTAAATCTCTCCTAACTCCATCATCCTTTGATGTTAAGATAACTTAAGCTTTCCTTTAGCTTAGTTATCATCTAATGATCAAAACCCAAATCTTAAAATTAACAAATAATTAACTAAGTAGAAGACTCACCTTTGAGCTTGGAGTTACGAGAGGAGAGGAAGGAGAAGGAGAAGTTCTGGAGAAATATCTCCCTATATGCTTATCTCTTAATAAAGAGATAAGATAATTATCTTTTAGATAAAAAGACCATTTTACCCATTAATTCATTCAATAATTACTAAAACTTTTAGGATTTATCTCCAGATAAATCATTAAACTAATCCATTCTTCTATTTTAACCACTAAATTCTGAAACTTTACCATTTAGTCACTTACCCATAATTTGGGATGTTACAAAACCACCCAATTATTTATATGCATTCAATTAAGTCGCTATCATTTAACAGTTAACGAAAGTGCTGACGTGATAGTTAATAACTTTGGTATAATTTACATTTAGTCCTTACTACTTACACAATCTATTAAATTGGTCATAATTTTAAATTAATTTAATATATTTAACGCTTCAATTACATGATGACACGTGTCACAATATCATTGGAGGTTTTTTTATTAATTTAATTTATATTTAATTTAAATATTTTCCCTCCAATCAGACGATGACATGTGGCACCATCTAATGGAAGAAAAATAAATTGAAACAACATTGTCCTTGGAGGGAAAGAGGGAATCAAACCT